CCCAAAACCCCAAAACCCCAAAACCCCAAAACCCCTTAGTTTATCAATATTATTGAAAATATATTTCTCAGAAACTAAAATGAGACGCTTCAGTACTCGCTCAACTCATAAACGGAGCAAAGAGCAGCTATTTCAGCCATACCAAGACTATAAGAGAAGGACTAGGAATCAAAGTAAGGGTGGCTTAAATAATCCTGCGACTTCTTCATTCCCTTAAAAGTTAGATTACCAACTAATAATTTTAAGAATTTCATAAGTCTGAGCACTTAAAAGTCTAAATCTTGCATCAGTCAGAAATGGTGACAAGAGAAATTAGCAGGACATCCCAATTACTTTGTAATGTATTAGTTTAGCTTTGTAGATATAATGAGACTTTATGAGAAAAACAATGCTTAGATAGAACTATTAAAGACTACACCAAAGATGCTAAGTCAGAAGGTAGAAGAATATTAGGGATTCAGTGGCTTTGCTCGGTTTCTAATTGTTTTTTCTTCATAAAAATTCTTATGACTTTTCGCAGTAACTTATCTCTCCTATTCTTTTCTTGTGTAATCAAGATAATTTACTCATTCTAATTCCATGGCCAAGTTCAAAATCTTGAATACAGCTAGATCTAAGTATGTGGATTTATGAGCTTATAATTTACTTCTCATCAAAGTAATGAAAAATATATTATATCATTTTAGAAACACCAATTCACAGTTTTCCTCAAAATAAGATTCAAGATGAGGGAGAGGATGTTGGTTCAGGGCCGTGTTTTACAAGGTCAGATAATTCTTCAAATGATCACATTAAGATTCGTGAAAGGGTCTCAGTCATTGGTCCTAGTGGAAGCTTTCCAATCCTCAATCATTCAGGTAACTACTAAAACTCATTTTGATTTGAAAAATTTACCAGATCTTAGCAACAAATAGTCATAAAATTCCAATTAGTGCAAAAATTTAACCAGAGATTTTTGAAAATTTTTAGTTCAAAAGTGTGACTTAAGACATGTTCCAAATATGATAGACCCTAGACCACTCAGGAGCAGCTAATATGGATGCTTATATTGAAAAATTTCCTGCCAAAAATAAAACTCAAACCATTTTGTACCTTTCCTGATCTGATTGCAATAGATTGGAGGTTTCTAAAGCCTGAAAAATATAGCGACCCAGATCCCACCGAGTTATGATGTAAAATAAAAAGAATGAGCTCAAAAGCTCTCTATTCCAGAAGATCTTCAGTTCCTTAGCCATAATGGGAGTGACCAAAGATAGACTGGCTTCACAGATATTCCACCAGCTGTGAGCTTTGGGCATGTGTGAGGGAAAACTCAAGGATGATACCTGTGTGTAAGTGGCTTAACTTTACCATCTGCTCTTTCAAACCTCTGTGAGCAAGATTTCTCCCATTAGTTAGTTTCAGAAGATTTCACATCTTTTATGGATGCTTAATAACTCTTTAGCAAAATAAAAGTGAATGAATTCATTTTCCTGCTGAATAATATGGGATACCAGATACCGCCAGAATCTGCTATCGAGGTGCTGAATTTAGGTGAGGTTTTGAATAAAACTATATAGTCCACAAGTGAGATCCCTCAGAAAAGCAAACGCTTCAGGTAGACTCTCCTGAGATGAAAGGAGCTTATTGTATCAATATAAAGAAGTTATCAGATTGCTTTCATGCAAACCCGAAGTAGGAGCTGAGATTTACCTATAGATACCTCAAACCAGTAAATGTTCAGAGGTCAAAATCTTTTGCTGACAACAAGCGTATGAGTCTCTTCAAGAAAATCAGTGAGAGAAATATGAGCTCTTTTGGCAGTAGTAATTATTATCTGACACTCTATAGACAAGAGCTTTACGTTTAATTCCGGTGGCGAGAGTAAGTTGCCAAATCTGGAAAACTCAGCTTTAAGAGCAAGGCTTTCTATCATTTCAGTTGATATTTCTAAGATACTGACCAAGTTCTTAATCTCATGATAGCGTTAGTTCAATTTTTATGACCTTAATAAAAGTTTTCCATTAGGTAGAGTAAAAATTAGGAGAATCCTGCATTCTTATAAGTCTAATTAACTTTTTGCCAATGTTGGTAATGCATTTAGAAGAATTACTAGAGAAATCTTAACAATTTTCTGGGCCACTCAACACTTTAGCATTTCTTTTGAAATTAGCCAAACTCTTGAGGATATCTGTGACTCGTTTTGCCATAAAAGATTTGGATATTTAACAATGAATTTTATTCGTATAAAAACGTTGAAATTTATATGAAAATTCAAGGCCAGGAATTACGATAAATAAAGAGTTTTAGGGCGAATTAGAATTACGATAGCACTTTGCATTTCTCGATCATTTTGAATTATATTTTATAGCATCGAAATCAATGATTAAAGGCAATAAAAGCCTAGATCCTATAAAGAGAGATCCTTTAAAGCGCGACCAGCTATTTAAATTTGAAGTTGAATCCGAACTCAAGAATGACCCGCTTGCGAGTACAGGGACAAAGCTTATTTATGACCTCAGCTACAATGACTTAGGTTCGCTCAAAGTTGATCCATAGACAAAGGTTGAAGTAGAGGGACTCCTCTTCGTTATGAGACAAAATAAAGCAATTAAGAACTACATGAAGATGGTATCTAAAGTGCCATACCTGTCAAAATAAGCTATCCAAGAACTTATTAGAAAGAAGGGTATGTCTCTTTCTAACAGCTTAGGCACAACCTTCTGTGAGCGGTGGGAAATTCAGATGGAAATCTGAAATCCAGAAAACAGTCAAAAGGATCAAAGGTATCTTGATAAAATTTATTCGCAGAACGGAAGAACCTGCAGGGCATAAATCTCTCAAAAAGCATCTTAGAAGAGATTTGTAAGAAAACTGGAAAAATGAAGACCCAAATTTCTGAGGAAGGTAACTTTTGTAAGAAACTATAGATGTGCTGGAGTTTACAGTCAATTATCCCTCATTCACAAAGCTTAATGCAATGAGAGGCCTGCAGCACTACCAGGCAGTCAGTAGTGTGACTACCAAACGGATGAAGAGTAAGGAGAAACTGATGAAGAACTTTTCTCTGACTGGCAAGCTACATAAAAAGCAAAGGAAAAGAATGAGTGAGCTTCTCAATACAAGGTTTAAGTAAAATTCCTTCAACCTTAATGATATTTAAAGGGGTTTTGGGGTTTTGGGGTTTTGGGG